TCTATAAATATCTGCTGATTTTCTGAATAAACGATCCGTTGCCTGGTCCCTGTCTTCTGTCGTTACACTGTGAGTGGTAATATGTGTAGAAATATAATATTAAACTGAATATTGGATAAATTAAGAGAATTAACACAGAATTTGTGAATTTTTAGGTTCCCCGGGAGGCCAGGGTAGCAATATTGGCTGAACTTCTTTTCACTGCACTCATAGCTCTGTTTGTTTTAGACGGGCTGTGATTGCCTCTCGTGTTTCGAACGTTCGGTATTTGGTGGCTTTTGGCAATTTATTCTGTATTTGACTGATGTTAGAAGGAGATTCTTTAATACTGCTAGCTCTTAATGGTTCTATTATTATTATTCCCTTGGGTTCTGTGTAGAACATAGGGCTTCAACAACACATCTAAACTTTGTTCTGTTCTCTGCTTTCCTCTTCATCTGGGTCCACGTTTGTTCATAATCTCTCATCTCCTCCATGCCACCCTGACACCAACGACGCACTCGTCGCTTCCCACTCACCGTCCACTCGAGTGATGGCCTGCATTGAGCGTGACTTCATTCAATGGCCTCTTCAGTGTATGCCTGATCCATCTCCATTTACTCCTACATATTTGTTGAGTAATCGGCTTTTGGTTAGTTTGTTCCCATAGTTTCTTGTTGCCGATTCTTTGTGGTCATTTGATTTCCAATATGGAACGAAGGCAGCCATTGATAAAAGTCTGAAGTCAGCTGTTAGAAATCCTGAAGCACAACCCATGACATCGTCATCAGGGGTTGAACACAGGACCTTCAGTTTATTAAAGTGAGCTCGGAGACCATTCAGATGCTGGGAAGGAATACACTGGCCATGCCATGAATTCTAACTTAATGTCAATTCACGATATAACGCGATCACCAGCCAGTGTTATCAGTGAGTATCTTCTCCGCTCAAACGCAACTAGGTGAACCCCGCTGGTCACGACTTCCCACTAACAGTATAGGAAACTTCATCGTCGTAACCTAATGATCCTATTCTGATCGGTTGCTGGAAGTTATTTACTCAGTGAGTGGTTTTGATTCCCGTTCTTCAGTATTCGAACTAGGGATCCATATGAGACACAGCTGTGACCTTGGCTGTTTCAATGGCAACACAGATAATCGTATAATTACTAATTTTATCTTTTTAAAGCTAAATCAATCTAAACTGATACGCGCACATTCATGCGACTTCATTCGAAAAAGCTCCCTAAATCCACAGATTTATTTTTTCGATTTTCCGGGAATTTCTAACTAATTCATACCACAACAGGTCGTATTGATCTCAGTGGAACTCTAACTTATGGTCCTCAATGAATAATTTGACTAACAAATATTTATACGCTGAAAACGTACTCCTTATTTTTAAAATTTTAAATATATCTGTTTAAATACTTTCAAAGGAGAAGACTTTATTATTATTGTTTCCTTGAATTCCTAGAAGAACAAAGGGCTTCAGCCAAACGTCTCCATTGCGTTCGGTTCTCTGCTAGAGTCCTCACCTGACTCCATGTCTCCCCACACGTTTTCATCTCCTCTTCACATGACCTCCTCCAAGTCAACCTTGCACTGACGACCAACTCGCCGCTTCCCTTTCGGGTTCCACTCGAGCAATGGCTTGTCTAGTGATGTCACTTGATGGTTTCCTCAGAGTATGGCCAGCCAATCCATCTCCATTTCTTCCTGCCTATTTGTTTCACAATCGGTTCCTGGTTGGTTCGCTCCCAGAGATCCCTGTTGCTGGTCGTTTCTGACCCACCATCTGATCTTGAGTATTTAGCGAAGACAACTGTTAATTCATGTCTGTAGTTTGTTTGAGATGCTCTTTATGACGCGCTGGCCAAGTCTCTGATCCGTATAGTGACTAGCACTGACGGACTTCACATTGGAGTTGAAAATCCGGATCTTATCTTCGTTTTGATGCTGAGTAGGGCTGTTGACCTCCACACAGACTTGAGAGTAGTGAAAGCTTGTTTTGCTTTTCCGATTCTTGCTTTGATATCCTCGTCAGTTCCGTCCGCCTGTAGTTGAAACGATGCTTCCAAGGTAGGTAGGTGGGTAAAACAGGTTGTTTCTTTCAGGTTCCTTCCATTCATGCTGATTGTTGTCTGTTGTTGTTGCTGCTGCTGTTGGCCAGGAATCTTCATCACCTCGGTTTTCTCTATGTTCACCTGAAATCCTATCTTTTATGCTTCTTCTGCCAACTTGTTGCTTTTCGCTTGCATATCTTCCAGTTTATGGGAAATCAGACACAAATGTATCACCGGCGAAGTTCAGATCCTCCAATATCCAAGAATCAATCTCCACTAATTGAATCATGAATGCTTACTGCCGGAAAGTCTTAAACTATTATTATTATTACTACTCTCTGAGGTTTCAAATGCACAATATAATTTTGTCTTGTTCTTTGTAGTCCTCTTTAGCCGGTTCCATGATTCTCCACAAGCTCTTGTCTCCTCATCCTTGTTACTTCCTCTGCACACAACGATTGAACAATTGACCTAGGGTTGTAATCCCATCCCACCTATTTTGATAAAGTCTCACAGTGTTATACAGGATTATATTGACTGATGACAACGTTTCGAGCACAAGTCATTGTTGCCTATAATCATATCAAGACACTACTCACACACAACTTTCTAACTTCGTTTATATAATTCCATTATTTTTCATCGTTTGATTTGATTGGTAGTAGTATCTTCTATATTTCCGGTATGAGTGATGAGTCATTCCTATTGCACGTGTTGGGTATAGAGACTCGATGATCAAGGATTCAGCAATCAACCTGTCTCTACTCTCCGCCTGCCCATATTACTTTTTAGAATTTTAACCCTCTCCCACCACCCTATTGTGTGGTTGAGTGTTAGTGCATGAAGTGTAATGCAGTGCTGAGCTTTTTTCTAAATTACTCATCTTCTCGGGTGGGGTCAACCATTCTAACCTTAGCTAAATTCTTATGTTCCGATAATCTGACTACCCCAGACCTACTAGTTTGACTGACCTATGTAGTTGACCTAACTCACAGTCATTGCAAGGTATTTTGTAAATTATATTATCTTGTCTAACTGGGTCAACCGACACGGTCCTTTAACTTTACCTACAGAGCTTGTCCTACCTGAGTGAGTTTGTGGGATTAAATGTCACTCTAATTCCTGCTTTGTTAAGAATCCTACCTAGGGAAGGCCTTGGATGTCCCCTTCTTATATGGGAATAACTGTAGATGCCTTATTTTCTCTCTTATTTATGTTATCACTACTAGTTTTACCATTATTTTTGTTTTGCTTTGGCCGTTTCTGATCTTCGTAATGAATTTTATAGGATAGTTATTTAACACCAACCAGCCATTCTTCTATCTGTTTTATTTCATCATTTAGGTCTTTTCTTGTACTGCTTGGTTTATTAGACACTTAACTAAGCCTGCCTTAACAGTTAATGGGTGAGATGAATTAAAGTCTAAATATCTATCAGCAGAATGCGTTGATTTTTTATAAACACTAGTGTGCAGTCTACCTTCTTCTATTCGTTTCATTTTACAATCTAACATAGTTGATTCTCCTTGTTCATTTTCTGATTCAAATGTGAATTTTATTCCCTTTACTAGTGAGTTTATATGCGTCAAGAAGTTAGAGATATGTTCTATTTTTAACACTGTGTGAAAATGTCATCCACATATCTCCACCATATTATCTTTGGAGTAGGATAAGGTGAATGTATTAAGAGCAATATTTTCCCAGCTGTCCATAAATTTATCTGCTGTGAAATTGTGCTCGAAACTTCATCAGTAAATATAATCCTGTATAACACTGTAGGACTTTATCGAAATAAATTTTACCCATAATGGAATAATACTCTACCACCGTATTATTATTATTATTGTTCCCTTGGGTTCCTAGTGGAACATAGGGCTTCAACTACACGTCTCCACTTGGTTCTGTCTTCTGCTGTACTTTTCACCTGCATCCATGTTAATCCATACTGTTTCAACTCCTCTTCACACGATCTCCTCCATGTCACCCTTGGCCGTCCCACTCACCGCTTCCCTTTCGGTGCACAAGTTTTATTTTTTAGACCCATCCCACCTACTTCAGCAGAATCTGAGATTCATTCAGTCGTTGACTTATCATCTTTACGGTATAAAGATCTACTACTTAAACAGATAAGAGAATCCTTAACAAGTAAATGTGTATTCTAATTTAAATCCTTTGACGAGCAACAATTACAGGGCAAGTCTGGTGCCAGTAGCCGCGATAACTCCAGCCCCAGAAGCGTATATTAAAGTTGGTACAGTTAAAAATCTCATAGTTGAACCTAGGTTGTGAAGTCGTATACCGCTGTTTCTTTCGCGGTCTTGGATGAGATCATAATTTGTGTTTTGCCTCGGTGTAGTGGCTCTACAGTCTTTCGGTAGTATCTGTGTAAACGCGTGCTGACCGAAGATAGGTGAGGTTCCCTTTCCCGCTATCTGTTGGCCTGCTTCCGGATGTAAACAGCGGACGGCATCTTTACTTTGAGTTCTCAAGGCAGGCCTTTGTACCTAGAAATTGTTGCATCGAATATTGAAGTAGGACTTCGGTTCTATTTTGTTAGTTTCCAGATCTTAATTAATACTCGGCGCACAGATTTTACTTCAAGTAACCTGCTTTTTTGATGTTGTTGGGGCAATTTGTGACTGTGTAACAGAAAGAAGGGTAATGCAAAGATCGGTCCACAACAATTCGGTTTTAGTCGTTACAAGAGACAGGAGGAACAGCCTCACCTAGGTAGTGTCGTCAGTCCTTACACAATATACGTGACCCATAGTCTGTTTGCATAAAAATATCTGTTCCAGTTAACCAAGTTCATTGACTGATAAACAAATGTTTACATGTTTGTTTAAATGCATTAAATGTTCAATATTCAACCTAATATTGTATCGATACTTATTATCCGCATCTGGAGAAGACAAAGAAACTAAAATATACATTAAATTTTTATTATTGATCATTATAAAATAAATATTTAATACAGATATTTTGTCAGCATATACTAAATTCTTTAATTGAACCCTTGAATGAAATGAATTCAATTTTGTTTTAATGCATAAAAGTTATTACAAATTTCAATGTGTGAATATTTGAATAATGCGATATGTACAGTGTATATAACCTTGAAAATATTCAAGATTATTTTATTGATTTTGTTATTATTCATCCATCTATATATATACACACACACGTGACTGAGGCATAACCTCTCTTCATTATTATACAGTCTTCTCTTGTGCATATGGTGTACCAGGTAGTGGAGTGAATCCAGGTAGTCTGGAGTTGTTCATCTCTTTGAATTCTGGTGTAATTGCTACAAATTTAAATCGACCACCCATTTGTTCATTAGTGATAAGCATTTCACATGCAGAGAATAGCTCATTCTGTTCTTTTTCTGATTTACATTTAGATAATAAAATCTGAAAAATGTATAGAAAAAAAGAAATAATAAAGAAAACCATTTAAATTTTAGTACTTTGATTGAACATTAGCTATTATAGATATATTATTGTTCCCTTGGATTGCGAGTGGTGGAACATAGGGCTGGCTACAACAACACATCTTCACTTTCTTCCATCCTCTGCTGTTCTCTTCAGCTGTATACACGATTGACTATAATCTATCATCTTCTCCAACTCGCCACACGATCTCCTCCATATCACGCTAGCGCCAACGACTCACTCGTCACTTCCCATTGGGATCCCACTGGAACGATGGTCTGCATTCAGCGCGATGTCACTCAACGTATGCCCCATCGATCCATCTCCATTTTCATTTCATCTTCAGTAGGGAGCCAGCCAGCCAGCCATCGAAGTGGGCAGCTGTTGATAAAAGTCTGTAGGAGCCTGTTGAAAATGCTTTTAGTGACGCGCGCACCAAGTTTCTGACCCGTATAGAAGAACTGACTGACTGACTTCACACTTTTGTTGAATAGAATCCGAATCTTCTTCTTTATGCTGGCTGGCTGAGTACGTGTAGAAGGTTTCCAAACTGGTTTCAGGTTGACGACGGTCTTTCTTGCCTCCCCCATTCTGACTGGCTGGTGTTGACATCTTCATCCGTTCCGGCTGCCTGTGGTTGAAACGACGCTACCTAGCTGGATAAGTGAAGGAAGTAACCTCTGCCAAATTTCGCCCGTTGATGGTGCTGCTTGTTGTTGCTGTTCGTTGGTTGGTTCTATGTGAACTCAACAGCGAAAGAAGATGAAACCAACATCATCTACAAAATAAATTGTATCAACTGCGAAAAACACTACATTGGCCAAAGTGGACGTCCCCTTCGTCTTCGTATCCACGAACATACACTAGCCGTCAAAAGGCATGACATCCACTCCCTCATATCACTACATGCATACAACCACGAACATCAATTTGACTGGGACAATGTTCAAATATTAGACAGAGGAAACAACAAGAATGCTAGAGAATTTTTAGAAGCCTGGTATTCCAGTGAATCGTCAATCAATAGACACATCGACATAGACAAAATTTACCAATCGATAAGAAGGAAATCTCACACACAAAGGGTCAAACTTCAAGTCAAGGAAACAATCAACACCAATACCAATACAAGTAGCCTAGAGGGTGTGAAAACACACAAAAACAACCAATCACGTCCAAGGTCACCAAGAGAGATGACTAATAAACTCGTGGGGTCATCTGAAAGCTCACTTCAAATTGAAGTATGCGCTAGAGATGTCGCCTAGTAGGGCAATAAAAGCTTCGCGCATAAACTATCCAGCTCAGAGAATACAACCACCTCAAATATATATATATATATAGCGCAACAACCAGCTTATGTCATCGGCGAGTGACTGATCTTTTACCTGATTTGGTAGAGCCTGTTGCGATTTTATCAGTTGTTGTTAATGAATGTAAAGTATGTTGAACATCTTGTCTTCAGGATTTCGTTTAATCAAAAAAAACCTAACGGAGTGTATCAGATTTCCAGATTCAGGATCACTAGTTCGTCCAAGTGTTGTGCATGCATGCATGCTTTGCCATCACCTTCCTCGACAGCCAATGTCAGCTGATATAACATCGATCACGTTGGAAAAGAGCAAGTGGTGGTCAAACCGAAGCGTGGGTTCATCAGTCAGTGAAATCCACAACAGTTAGTTTAAGCCAGCCAGTCAAGTGGGGAGGTGTAGACTGACTGGCAGGTTGGGGTCCTTGGGATGGAGAAAACCAATGAAGACTAGAGAAAGTTAGTGATATGGCTCAAAATCACCGCTGTCAATGGCTGGAGCAGATGCATTTACTCTTTATGATTTATCATATCTAATGAAACTATATTGTTCTTCCACATTACTATTCTTTTCCCCCCACACTTCTCTTTGTTATCTCTCTTCCCTTACGTGTGCTACATGGAAGAAGAGTGGCGACTCGAACTGGTGGACATTTGTGCAAAGTTCTATGTTGAAAACAGTCAGTCATACATTGATAATAAGCTCGGTCGCAAACGAGCGTAACGGCCATCAAGTGTTTCGGTAAATTCAATCTGGCTGGCTAGTAAGCACTACTACCGATCGATGTATGTGGTATACAACTAGCTACTCATTTCAATCAATCAGTAGTCTACGCATAGTTTTATGCATTTATGCTTGCCTTTCTTGATTACTTATTTATGGCATCAAGCCGATCACATTCTCTCTGTGTAATCTGAATAATATCGGTTTCCGAAGGAAACTGTAGTGAAATTCTACCTCTTCGAATTGTGAATTTGACATATGGCGAATGTATCTTTTTTCAGCTTTGATCATGAACCAGTAGAAGTAATGGACAACTGTTTCGTCCTTGTTTGGGACCCTTCAGACAGCACGCACACATGACCCCATCAGGAATGTATAAATCCCGTCTACCAACTTAGAAGAATTTAATACACAGAAATGTACTATTATTCATTTTATTATTACCCATTCAGTTAGCAATAAAGTGAAAATTGTAAATATGTCCAGAAACCCGATGAGTTGACTACAATATACAACCAGAAGTTAATTGGTGGATGGATGGTGACTAGCAGTGGAATCCAGGACAATGCACATTTCGTCCTATTTGGGACTCGTCATCTGGATGTACCCTTCTGAGATTCGAACCTGCCGACGAGCCCCAAATGGGACGAAATGCGCATTCTGGATTCCACTGTTAGTCACTATCAACCAATTAACTTCTAATTACATGCTCAGACATCGTCGAAGCATCTGCACAAGAAGTTGACAGACATGTCAATCTTAGACCGAGCACTTCAGTCCAATCAATCGATGGGAAAATCTAAAATTCAATTAAATATGATATATAACCCCGAAACTACTAAATTTAGTAGCACAAAACTTAGAACTGCAGGATTTCGTGTACATCTGTATTCACAAGGAAACAATCCTAACACATTGGCTACACAGCTAAACTCCCTCACTTTAATCTTTTTTTTATCGTTATTGTTTATTTATTAAAACACAGACATGGTATATTATAGACACCGAAATCTTATAGTATGTGTGAGGACTTTAATAGCACCCGAACGCCATGACTCAAACAAGTGGTTGTCTTCAGGGGGAGTCGTCCCTCAAGTCTTTGACTAGAAATCTCACCCACAAGACAGTGGAGAGAGAGGCGTCAGTAGCTGCCTTCCCATGGTTGCCGGTGACGAAAACAGGTTCATACTCTATTCGATCCTACTTTCAGATTCAGGAGCCCATGTGTACCGTAGGTTTGGAATCCCAAATCCGGTTATAGGCTCTAGACGTTTACATTAGCCCTTTGACTTTTGTGAATAGGAATTACCTGGCAACACATAAGAGCATTTGAAGACAGAAAGACTGAAGTCTACTCATCCTCGGCTGTACTAGGTCGTTTATACGAGCTCATATGATTACACTGACAAAGAATTAAGCTGTTTCACTGCCACAAGGGCATAAACACAGGATGAATATGTTGCATCATTGGTTGTTATTCAAACTCCTCTGTTAGTGTAGTATTGTAGTGAGAGATGGTTGCTAGCCAAATTGGTTGACAGTAATTGAGGTCAAAGGTCAAGATGGACAGGCGGATACAGTTAACATATAGGTGAACTGACACAGCCACAAGAGATGCAAGGTTAACCTTGTGTGAGAAACAACCAATCAACAGACTGTATTTTCTACTAACATTAACCTCCAATAATGTACATCAAAATCCATAAATACGTGTTGTTTTCCGTAATAAACGTTCTGTTGCCTGGCCCTTGTCTTCTGTTGTTACAGTATAATGCGGTGTGACTGATACTGAGACCAAAGAAAGAAAGAAAGCCAGCATTTTAGATGGCAATAGGCTCTCAGTGTTGTACAACCCACTTTATTCATCATATTAATTACAGTGAACACTACTCATAAAAGGAAAGATATATCGATAGTTAATAGGTTATTTATCTTACCTGTAATCTAGTGAACAGACCCATATTGATGAGAAAATAAGCCTGAGTAACCGGACCATGAAGTGTCACTAGGAGAAATGGGAAAATAAAGAGGGAGATATCAGGTAGGAATATGACTTATATATATATCAGCAGCCTGCAACCATTAATTCTTAACACCAGATGGCCGGCGTATAGGCGGCTGTTTATTTTAGATGGTCAGAGACAATCGGCCACGGGAAGCCTTGGACTTAAGTTTCATGCTAGTTGGCACTTTCCAGTCAGCAACCTTGACGGAATTCATATACCTTCTAAGATTCCAACCTGCGTCACCTAGTGAGAGCTGCAGTCGGAGACGTTACCACTGAGCTAGTTATTCGGGCTCGCAGTTAACCTCCTGTAGGACTGACTGTATTGGTTAATTTTCTTTTGATTGGACACTAGTCAGTCAGTAACTAGTGTAATGTGTGTATGTCTAGTCCTATTTTTGGTGCAGACTGAATACTATCAGTCAAGTTCGCAATGTGGTCACCGTGCTACTAGGTAGCTCGCCATGCGACGGTTCACTGTGAATTGTTAGTATTAGATAGTTGGAGGCAATCGGCCACAAGAAGCCTTGTGGCTTGGTACAGTATGTGCAAGAAGAGATGCATCAAACTTGTGGGTGAAGACTGAGGTACTTACTGCCTGGATGTCAAAACCAAGGCAGGCAGTCGTCCTACAGGAACTAAAAACTACCTTCTATGGGTATTTTAAAAAATGTTATGAATGCATAAAGAAAACAATATTTATTCACATTATGATATGTAGGTGAATGTAAAGGGAAGGAAAACAGTTTCCCATTTATATTTATTAGGAAAGAAACACGGCTGCCATCACTATGGAAACAACAACTGTCCAGTACTCCCAGTTGGGTTTCCAATGGTTCTCTAACCTATGCCAGCTCATAGTGAAATCCTGAAACCAACACTTCAATACCAATCTGATGCTCACTACAGCAGGTCGGGTGTGAGGAAAAATACTCGTTGATAACATTCGCTAGTAGTCACGCCATATCATGAATTGGCGGAATTCAGAATTCATGGACTGGCCATTGGATCGCGTCCCAGTGGCTTAATGGTCTACGAGCTACCTCATCTTGTAACCAGAAGGTCCTGTGTTCGAGCCCTGGCGGTGGGTGCGTACTGGTGAAGAGTCCCAAAGAAGGGGGACGAAACAGCTTACTTGGGAAGTATCATCAGCCCCAACGGGTTGATCTCCGACGAAATCTCAGCACGAATACAGAGGGCTAGGTTCGCATATGCCAGTTTACGCCGTCTCTGGCGTAGACGTGATATCCAACTATCGACCAAAGGGTGGTGTACTGCTCAACAGTCCGCTCCGTCCTCCTTTATGCCTGTGAGACCTGGCCATTGAGAGCAGAAGACATGAAGAGATTAGCTGTGTTCGATCATAGATGTCTGCATTCTATCTCCCGCGTGAAGTGGTATAATAAGGTGAGCAATATTGAGGTTAGGCCATCGGTCGAGTGCTAGGTAAGGTGGGGAAATCAATCGACGAGGCTGTGAAGTTACATCGACTGAGATGGTTAGGACATGTGCTACGTAGGCCTAGTCATCGCCTTCCTCGACGGGAAATGTTAGCTGATATAGGGCCAGGCTGGAAAAGAGCTAGCGGTCGTCAAACGAAAACATGGCACCAATCAATGAAATCCACAACAGTTAGTCTAAGCCACGTAGGAAGGTGTGGACTTCCCGGTTGGGGTCCTCGGGACGGTAAAAACCAATGGTTGGAAACAATTGGTGACATGGCTCAAAATCGTTCTCAATGGCTGGTGCAGATGCATCCACTCCTTGTGACTTATGATTTCCAGTTAAACTGTTTTGTTCTCCGTTATCACTATTCCTTTGTCTCACACCTCTGTTTACTGACTATATTATGCATTTCTTGTACTTTCTTCTCTTGCTTTGTGTGCTACATGGAGTGTGGCGACTTGAACTGCCGCACATATGTGCAAAGTTCTATGTCGAAAACCGACGACCGACCGGACGAAGCAGCTATTAAGTACTCCCAGTTGGTTTTCCAATGGTTCTCTCTAACTGATGTTAAGTTCATGATGAAATCCTGAAACCAAACCATATTTTACTAAGTTATCATGCTCCACTAGTCTGGTTGACCCCGCAGCCTACTCCTCTGACTTCACAATCACTGTAGCGTACTAGAAAAACTAAATTATTTTATTTAATGGGTTCCACAGGATCGTTTAACCAACACAATTTGCTTCTGAGTGAGTTTGTTGGTTTGAATTTCACTTTTATTCCTGTCTTGTTAAGTAGGAATTCTATGTAACGGTTTCAGATGTTCCCCTTTTTGTATGACAGGACTACTGATGTTTTAAATTCCTTATTGTTGGTGTTGTCAACTTTCTGTGTATGTTTCTCATGCACACTGTTCTTCTTATTGTTAATTTTATTCTTACAAAGCTTTTTTCATATTTCTTGACTGACTGGTTTCAACACAGAACTTTCACAGATGTACAGCAGTTAACGTCGTCACTCTTCCTCCATGGAGCACACAAAGCAAGAGAAGAGAGTGGAGAGAGATTCAAAGAGACAGATAATAAACAGAAATATGAGGCAAAAAGAATAGTAATATGGCAGAACAATACAGTTTTATTGGATATTATAAATCACAAAGAGTGATGCATCTGTGCCAGCCATTGAGAACGATTTTGAGTCATATCACCGATCACCTCCAACCTTCGGTGGTTTTCACCATCCCGAGGACCCCAAACAGTCAGGAAGTCTACACCTCCTCAAGTGACTGGCTGGCTAAAACTAACTGTTGTGGATTTTATTGACTGATGAAGCCATGTTTTGGTCTGACCACCAGTAGCTGTTTTTCAACCTGATCGATGCTATGTCAACTAACATTGGCTGTCGAGGAAGGCGATGTCCTAACTATCTAACCCAATCGATATAACTTAACAACCTCGCCGATTGGTTTTCTGTCCTTACCTACCACTCGACGCCTAACCTGAATATTACTCATACTATTATACCACCTAGCATGGGAGATAGAACTCAGGCACCTATGATCAAAGACACCTAGAGTTTTCATGTCTTCCACTTTCAATGACCATATCTCGCTCACAGGCATAAAGGAGGACGGAGCGAACTGTTGAGCAGTGCACACGTCTTTGGATTATTTAGCTGTTTTTCCCTCACCAATCTTATTTTCACTGCAATGGGGTAGAGATGAACCGGATTTCAAATATCGGTTTATATGTGTGGGTTTTCTGCAAAAACACTAGTGTTCAATTTTTCATTGGAAGCTCCACTTTCGTGACTTTCCAACTCATAAATGAATTGGATTGTCTCTATTTCAGTTGTAGCACCACATGTAGTTACATGCCACCAAAGAGTATGATGGGACACAAGATGACAGGTCTTAAAATCTAATGGAACAGGGTGGAAGAAGAGATTGTTAATGGAAGCTTTATATCTATTGGTTCAACTAAAAATACATGCAATAGTAATGATTCAACACCTGTCCATCCAGACATCTGGAAAACTGTACTACCTTTACAACAAATGGGAATAAAGAAAGAGAACTGTCAAAAACCAAGTTCCAAAGTTGTCTAGGTTAAAATTGATAGTATTGTGGCGTGTGCTACTGATAAGATTTATCAGTAGTATATATAAATATATAGATGTTCATCGCCATAAAAACATCAACTAGCAGGGAGATTCATTTGATTTCAGAGAAGGCAAATGATGATACAGCATTGCGGAGATACATGGGATGCGTGAAAAGAATACAAAGAAACACAATATGAAGGAAGGCCAGGAGATCTGTGGAAATGGTGCGTTGAAGATAAAGTGTACATAATTCGGCTATATAGAGATACTAATTTCCAAATAAATATTCCTTTACCAAGTCCCTCGTCTTCTACCCTTACAGTATGACAGTAAACAATAAACTGTGTGTTGAAACGTCATCCAGTAAGTAATACTGGCTCGGAAAGTTTGATATATCCAATAAACAAATTAATACGCAGTTACATACTAACACACATATGAATTAACATGTTAAGCAAGTAACGAAAACGTACCTCTTTCACCGGATTCTTTAACTGTATGGCATAAAAGGCTAAAATCAACATCACAGGTAAGATCTATATTTCCAGGATCAATCAGGGGATCACAAACAGTGTGAGCATGAAAACCCTATAAACAAACAAATAAACAAAAAATTTGTGTAAATAATATTTAAATGTAGAGATTTATTTTATCTCGATGGCATCGTTTCAACTACAGGCCAGTGGTACGGATGAGAATGTCGAAGCCAATCAGAATCAGAAAGGCGCGGAAACAGACCTTCATCACTCTGAGATCAGTTTGGAAATCTTCTGCACTAACTCACCATAAAGAACAAAATTTGGATTTTTAATACCAATGTGAAGTCATTATTGGTAAGATTTTATTTTGATAAAGTGTCACACAGTAATATTAACTGATGACCACAATTCAAGCACAAACTATTGCCACTCATAATCATATCAAGTCACACACAACTTTCTTGCTTGATTTATATACATGAGTGAAACTGATTAGACATTTGAATAAACATCAATATGAGATAATGTACATTCAGAAATAATAATATGAGTGTTATTGATGAAATACAATGGAGATGTGAAATGAGACGAGTGATTTTATAGTCAAAATTAGTAACTTGTTAGAATGCTATGATGTACGTGAATTGAATTGAAATAGAATATTAAGATTATTTATTATCCTTCTCTGATTTGACTGGTGGTAATAATATCTTCCATGCATATCTCTGGTATTTGCATTGAGTCACTTCTATTGTGTATGCGTTGGGTGTAGACTCGATGAACCAGGCAGGATTCAGTAATCAATCTCTCTTTCCACCTACCTAGATTACTTTTTAGAATTTTAACCCTCTCCCACCACCCTATTGTGTGGTGGTGTGTAATGCATGCAGCGCAATCGCCCATTGAGAAAATTATTTTAGGAATTCAGTTATGCCTCACATCTACTATGTTTAAATTCCAAGGCAAAATATATAGACAAACAGAAGGTGTACCAATGGGATCGCCAATATCCCCTATTGTAGCAGACATATTTATGGACAGTTGGGAAAATAGTGCTCTTAATACATTCGCCTAATCCTACTCCAAAAATATGGTGGAGATATGTGGATGACATTTTCACCCACAGTGTTGCAAACAGAACATATCTCTAGCTTCTTGACGCATATAAACTCACTAGTAAAGGGAATAAAATTCACATTTGAATCAGAAAATGAAAAAGGAGAATTAACTGTGGTGTTAGATTGTAAAATAAGACGAATAGAAGAAAGTAGACTGCCCACCATTCTAATAGATATTTAGATTTTAATTCATCTCACCCGTTAACTGTTTGTAAAGGCTGGCTTAGTTAAGTGTCTGAAAAACCGAGCAGTAGCACTAAGTAGTACAAGAAGAGACCTAAATGATGAAATAAAACAGATGGAAGAATGGCTGGTTGGTGTTAAATAACTAACTATCCTATAAAATTCATTAGGAAGATCAGTAAAGGTTAAAAGCAAAATAAAAATAATTGTGAAACTAGTAATGATAACATAAATAAGAGAGAATATAAGTCGTCCACTGTTATACCATATAAGGAGGGGACATCTGAGGCCTTCCCTACATAGGATTCTTAATAAAGCAGGAATTAGAGTGGCATTTAATCCCACAAACTCACTCAGGTAGGACAAGCTCTGTAGGTTAAGTTAAAGGACCCTGTCGGTTGACCCAATTAGACAAAATAATATAATTTACAAAATACCTTGCAATGACTGTGAGTTAGGTCAACTACATAGGTCAAACTAGTAGATCGGAGGTAATCAGATTGTCGGAACATAAGAATTTAGCTAAGGTAAGAATAGTTGACCTCGAGAAGATAAGTAAGCTGAGCGATTGCACTGCATGCATTAACACACAACCACACAATAGGGTGGTGGGAGAAGGTCAAAGTTCTAAGAAGTAATCTAGGTAGGTGGAGAGAGATAGAGGTTGATTACTGAATCCTGCCTGGTTCATCGAGTCTACACCCAACACATACACAATAGAAGTGATTCAATGAAAATACCAGAGATATGCATGGAAGATATTATTACCACCAGTCAAATCAGATAAGGATAATAAGTAATCGTGATATTCTATTTCAGTTTACATACATCATAACATTCTAACAAGTTACTTATTTATTTTGACTATAAAACACTCGTTTCATTTCACATCTCCATTGTATTTCATCAATAACACTCATATTATTATTTCTGAATGTACATTATCCTATATTGGTTGATTTTTATTCAAATGTCTAATCATCAATTTTACTTATGTATATAAATGAAGTAAAAGGTTGTGTGAGTGACTTGATATGATTATGAGTGGCAATAGTTTGTGCTCGAAACGTGTTCGCATCAGTTAATATTACTGCATAACACCACTGTGTGACACTTTATCAAAATAAAATCTTATCTATAATGGAGTTATACTCTACCACCACAGTGCCCAAGTTTTATACTTCTTATATCAATGTGAAGTCAGTCAGTTTTTTCTACATGGCTCAAAAACTTGGCGCACGCATTACGAAAGGCATTTCGAATTGGGCTACTCCAAACTTTTGATCAACAGCTGCCTCCATATTGAAGATCAGATGGCCGGCCGCCAGAAACTCTGGGAACGAACCAATCAAGAATATATTGCCCCAAAAAGCATACCGAAGAAAATGGGGTGATGCATAGGACACACACTGAGGTGACTGTTAAGTGACATCGTTCGAGTGGAATCCGTATGGGAGTCCGAGGGTGACATGAGGGAGATAGTGTTAGGAGGAGATGAAAGCTAAAGAGGACTACAGAAAACAGGATCAAATGGGGATGTGCTGTTGAAACTCTATGATCCACTCGGAACCCAAGAGAATAATAATGATAATAAAGTTTTTCAAGTATTGGTTTGTAGGGATTTGATTGATTGGTTACAGGATTTCATCATTTCATTTCAAACCAATACTTGAATATCGATGAGATGCTCACTGGCGACTGGCCCTATTCAGGTAGGTAGTTACCTGGGGTTCTAGTGGAAAGTCGTGACCAGTAGGGTGCAGCAGGTCGGGCGTGAGGACAAATACTCGCTGAAGACATTGGCTAGCGGTCGCGCTATGTCGTGAATCGGTAGAAGTTAGAATTCATGAGCTGGTCATTTGATCGGGTCCCAGTGGCTTAATGGTCTACGAGCTAGCTCACCATATAACCAGAAGGTCCTGAGTTCGAACCGTGGCGGTGGGTGCGCACTGATAAAGAGTCCCAAAGAAGGGGACGAAATAGCTGTCCAGTACTCCCAGGTTTACCAGTGGTTCTCTAACCAATGTCAGCTCATGATGAAATCCTGTAACCAATAAAATTTTTCTTAAAAAACTTACACGAAATGTATCTCCTTTCTCACCTTCATGTCCGTAATCGATGAGGAGAGCAGCTCCACCCGTTTGACTAATTCGTTTACACAACACCTGAGTTAAACACATCATATCAGGACATATTTCCACTGCATTTCGATCAGAAAGATTTGGAACTAACTGTCAGGAGAAGATAGAAAAAGAAGATAATTTCATCAAAACTTCGATCATGTCAACTAGATACTACTTATAAAAGATTAATATAATCAATTATATTTCATCAGATGAATGTAGAGACGTGGCTCATATTGGCTTGTACACTCGAATTTAAGCCACTGGATGTCCAGCTTTGTCTGCCTTAGCCTCAGCAACTGCGTAGTATAATTGTAACGAAAGAAGATAAGAGTATTGGTAAGCACATTAAAAGTCGGCTACGTCGGCGGATAATAAACTATTCTAACTGGTTGGTGTTTGGTTTAAGGTTAGACAATGGGATGAAAAGTTGCCCACTGGGATTACTTCCTTACCACAACGTAAACTAGACACACAGACTTGAGGAATAAACATATCTGCCTCTGCAGCCATTGACTTGAAATGTTGATTTCAATTAGAAGTTAAAACTGTTAGATGGTGACTAGCAGTGGAATCCAGGATAATGCGCATTTCGTCCTATTTGGGACTCGTCATCTGGATGTGCCTGCATTCCGCAGTGAGTGACGATGTTCACACCGAGGCTTGAACCCAGTGTCCATAGTTCCAAATGCCAAAGCGTTATCCACTAGACCACTTGAGCCACCTCTTGTGCAACGGGTCATATTAATTATTTAATTGAATTTTAGATTTTCCTGTCGATTGATTCGACCGAAGTGCTCGGTCTCAGGTTGACATGTCGTCGGCTTCTTGTGCAGATGCTTCGACGATGTCTGGTAGTGGATGGTGACTAACAGTGGAATCCAGGATGCGCATTTCCTCCTATTTGGGACTCGTCAGTTGGATGTGTCGTTTGAAACTGTGGGCACTGGGTTCGAGTCTCGGTGTGAACATCATCACTCACTGCGGAATGAAGGCACATCCAGATGACGAGTTCCAAATAGGACAAAATGCGCGTTATCCTGGATTATTCCACTGTTAGTCACCATCAACCAATTAACTTCTAATTACATGACCAGACATCGTCGAAGCATCTGCACAAGAAGTCGATAGACATGTCACTCTGAGACCGAGCACTTCGGTCCAATCAATCGACGGGAAAACCTAAAAGTGAATGAAATAGTTGATTTCAATTGTTGGCCGCCTCCTATCCTATCAGTTTGCATCTATATACTACTGATAAGTATTGTCAGTAGCACACTCCGTAAAATCATTCCTCACACGCACAGTATGGCTCATACATAGTCAGTCTGGTATATGAAACACCTACTTCAGGTAACTGAGTTTGACTAGTTTCAACATAGAACTGTACATAGAAGTGCACCAGTTCAAGTGACCACATTTCATGCAGTAGACAAAGGAAGACAAAAGAGAGAGGAAAAAGAGATTCGGAAGAACAATAATAAGCAGAAATGTGAGGGAGAAAGAATAGTAAGATGGTAAAATAGGAGGGTTTAACAATGGATGTAGGAGGTCACAAAGAGTGAATGCATCTTTGCCTTTGAGAACAATTTTGAGTCACATCGCCACTAGTCTCCAGTCATTGATTCTGATCATCCCAAGGATACCAACCAGGAAGTCTACACTCCCCTACGGAGCTGATTCACACTAATTTATGATGTGTCATGTTTCCATTTGATCAACACTAGCTATTTTCCGGCTAACATTGTCAGTCGAGGAAGGTATTATTATTATTGTTCCCTTGGGTTCCTAGTGGAACATAGGGCTTCAACTTCACGCCTCCACTTGCTTCTGTCTTCTGCTGTACTTTTCACTTGCATCCATGTTAGTCCATACTGTTTCAACTCCTCTTCACACGATCTCCTCTATGTCACCCTTGCACTGACGTCCCACTCGCCGCTTCCCTTTCGGGTTCCACTCGAGCGTTGGCCTGACGCGCGATGTCACCCAACGGCCTCCTCAGCGAGTGTCCAATCCATCTCCACTTTCTCCTGCATATTTGTTGGACGATTGGTTCCTGTTTTGTTTGTTCCCATAGCTTCTTGTTTGTGATTCTTTCCGGCCATCTGATCTTCAGTATAGAACGAAGACAGTTGTTGATAAAGGTTTGCAACCTGTTGAAAATCTTCTTGGTGACCCACCAAGTTTCTGATCCGTATAGCAAAACTGACTTGACGTTTGTATTGATAATCCGAATTTAGTCGAGGAAGGTAATGGCTCCGAATGTGCAGCACATGTCCTAGCAATCTCAATCGACTCACCTTCATAACATTATCGATTGACTTACACTCCCCCCCCCCCCACTTACCTAACCTCACTATTATCCATCATATTATACCACTCAACGCGGGAGATAGAAAGCAGATACTATTATAAAAACACTAGTCTTTTCATGTCTTCTACTTTTAATGATCATGTTGCCTAGCCATAAAAGAGGACACAGAGAAGTCCTGCACAGTACACACGTCTTTTGATCGTGGCTGAGTTCAAACAACAATAATAATTGAAAAGAGGAGCTAAATACGAAACTGGATCAAGATTCAAGGTAAAAAGTCTAATATCCGTGTGTATATGTTTACATATATGCATAAAATCTTTGATGTTTGGTTGTACATCATTTTATAGTTTCTTTTGTGTTCTCAGTGGAACATAAAGCTTAGAGCTTCCAATTTTTACTAGCTGTGTGGTGTTACTTTTCTATGAGGTAGGATTGCTAACCCCATACTTAACCTTCCATAGCCTGCTACCAGCTAAGCGAGGTTTAGGAGTGCGTTGGTCGCCAGTCAAACTCACACCTCCTGAGTGACTAGCAAGGATACTGCCATTGAGCGACCGAAGCCTCATATGTTTGTTAGATATTTAAAATATTCTCTATGAATATCCCTTCTAAATTATAAAATGAAAAGACAAAACTGAAGAAGCAAAAAGTTCACTATGAAAATATTGACGCATCTGGAAGTAATAACTCATAAAGCGAAAATTACAGGTCAGTACATTAAAACAACCAAGTACACCGCCCCCCCACCATTAACAGCCTGGTACGGCTGAGGGTGGGTAGACTTCCGAAATACTCTCGTGTAGCCACGCCTTGATAGCCTCTGACGGGTAAGTCCTGTTCACTGCATTTACGCCACGTAGGAAGGGGGTGTTCTTCACACGAGCGAAAGGGAGAATGAAAACGTCCGGTGCTTACAACTGGACCGGTGGATATATTGGTCTACCTAAGGGAGTTGGGAAATCTTGATTTCAAAACTGTACTGTATGTGTGCTCAAGAATTCAAACGAGTCGAATAGTGTATAAACCTGTTTTAGTTACCGGAAATCATGGGAAGGCAGCTCCTGAAGCTGGTTGGTCCACTCACTGGCTTGTCGACCAGGCTTCAAGTCAAATGATATAAGGAATGAAACCGGCCGACACCGTTGCCTAGATTGCTAGCCGACAGACAGTAACCTCGGAAAAAGAAGGAAGGTTTGGCGTGTGGATAACAATATCTCGCACCGTACAAAAATAACAACACCACCGCTGTTGAAAGAGACATTCACAACCATATTGTTGTTTGTATTTTTCTTGCTTGACAGATTAGGTCATTGTGATTATTGACTTGCGAAGATTCTTTGACAGTGTCACCCCCTAATTAGGTGAATCTATGACTGCTCACGATCACTTCAAAGGACTCTTGAATAGACCACCAACACCACCTGCAACTCACCCAGAAATACCACCAACAGCACACACAGAACTGCCTGCCACAAGGACACCAATCCTCCAACAAAATCAAAAAATCTTGAATTTAATTAAGCTGCTGAAGTTCAGCTGGGAATGCAGCAGAACCAGATGGATATCCCACTGAAGCACTGGAAACGGAACCAGAGACCACAGCAGATATACTCACGCCACTATTGCACAAGGTTTGGAAGGAAGGAAGGAAAGGTAGCTACTGATTTGGAGAAAGGCTACCTTGTCAAACTACCAACGAAGGGCGACTCAGGCCTCTGTCCATGTCAAGCAAAATACTAAGTCGCATCATCCTGGAGTTACTAAAAGGTACACTGCATGCAGAGCTCCGCCAGCACAGAACAAGCTGGATTCAGGAAAATTCAGCAAATCATGTGCTGATCAAATTGCAACTCTACGCATCGTCATCACAGCACAAAGCATAGGATGGCAATCAACCCTCTATCTAAATTTTATCGACTTTGAAACGGCCTTCGACAGCGTCAACTGTCGTGAAGTAAATTGGAAACTACTTCAACACTACGACGTGCAGTGCCCAAATCTTTATCAACCTCATTCAACAACTATATGATGATATTACGTGTCAGGTGATTCACAACCGAAAACTCAGTGAAGCCTTTGAAATGAATACAGGAGTAAGACAAGGCTGACGACTGTCACCGATGATATTCCTGATTGTGGTGGGCTGGATTATGCGTCAGACTGTGGGTGAACGAGAAGACAAGAATTTTTTGGACCAATAGGAAAACTCTAGAAGATCTGGATTTTGTGTGTGTGGATGATCTGTGTATACTGTAACACAAACTCGAAGACTTACAGGCGAAAACCAACAAACTGACTGAAAAAGTAGCGAAGAAAGGACTCCAGGTGAACATAGAGAAGACGGACGGAGGTGATGAAGATAACCAACCAACAGTGACAACAAACAGCATCAATCACTGTCAGCTAGCTTCATGTCCAAACTCCCTTGTTTTCTAGGGCCACTACCGGCTAGGAAAACCAGTCTACGTTTAAAAGTACATCGATTGGGAATCGAACGTGAATCTCTCACGTGACTGGCGGATACTCTACTGTCGAATCACCGATGCAGACTTATCAAGTAGGATTTTTAATGATTTTCAATGAAAAACGCAATCAGATGCTTACAGGTAGATAGGCGATTGAAGCTGGAGTTCGTGTGTTTGAACGGATAAAGCATAATTCATTGGTATTCGCCATAGAGCTAATTAAAACTTCATTCCAATTCCCATCATGTTTCTAGAAAAAAAACAGACAAGGCGGTAAGAAAGTTAATCCATAGAAATACATATTTGTTTCGGTAAAAATATACGTAAATTGGTTCGTTCGTATGATACTACTGTAACGACAGAAGACAAGGGTCAGGCAACAGATCGTTTATTGGGAAAATCAAGAGATATTTATAGATTTTTATGTACGTTATTATTCGTTATTGTTAGCAGAGAAGCAACGTCTTCTGATTGCTTGTTTTCCTGCTGAAGGTTATTCTGTCATCTTTTTGTTGCCGTTTCTTAGACAGTCCGGTGATATATCTACTAATCGTATCCACCCACGCTAAGTCTGCTGTGATTGGTTGTTGAGTTCCTCAAGGTTAGGCCTTGTTCTTGTTTTTTCTCATAACTCCGATTTGGGACGTAAATATTGACGTAAATTGCTATCTACCAATTTTGGCTAACAGACAGCTCTCACCACACTACTACCATAGATGCAACTGAATTCGAAACTAAGTCAAATGTCAAACACCTTGGGTTGTGTATTTGAACAAAGCAAGAACAACAGTGGTTTGTGCAGAATAATATGGTACCATCATTGTCTATTTCGTTGGATTCTCATCAGCTGCTTGCTTACAGTCTAAATCAATTATGAGGTTTATGTACAGAAAAGTTTTAACATATTTGCAAATTTTACATGATGTCAGTTGACAGAAGGTTCCACAATTAGTGAACAGTGCTCAGAAAATTACGCTTATTTAGTTTTTACACAGGCAGTTCAAGTTTAAACGAAAATAAATATTTGCATACAATGGTAAATGAGTTACGTAATAAAGACGAGAGATGCGCGAGATGCTGAGTGACTAATAAATTAGGTAACAATGTAGTGAGTTCAACTCAAATCATAGAAAAAAGAGACAAGCAAAATTACAGATTATCAAAGGAGGTGAGGTTAAAGCCAAAGATTACGTAATCAGATGAGAGAATAAAGACATCCAGTTACCAGGGCAACGAAAGACTAATAACCGCTTCTTTCTGAACACATAAATCTGATTTCAAGCGTTTGATAGAAATTGCTTCGGCAAACTTGAGGAGAATCGAGCTCCCTTGTCTATTGATAATTTTAAAGGATTTCGCGATTACCAATAGACAAAGGAGCTCGATTCTCCTCAAGTTTGCCGAAGCAATTTCTATCAAACGCTTGAAATCAGATTTATGTGTTCAGAAAGAAGCGGTTATTAGTCTTTCATTGCCCTGGTAACTGGATGTCTTTATTCTCTCTTTCTTTTGATTACGTAATCTTTGGCTTTAACCTCACCTCCTTGATACAGTGTAATTTTGCTTGTCTCTTTTTTCTATGATTTGAGTTGAACTCAGTACATTGTTACCTAATTTATTAGTCACTCATCATCTACGCATCTCTCGTCTTTATTACGTAACTCCTTTACCATGTATGTATACATTTTGTTCAAACTTGAACTGCCTGTGTAAAAACTAAATAAGCGTAATTTTCTGAGCACTGTTCACTAATTGTGGAACCTTCTGTCAACTGACATCATGAAAATATTTGCAAGTATGTTAAAACTTTTCTGTACATAAACCTCATAATTGATTTAGGCTGTAAGCAAGCAGCTGAGCTGATGAGAAGCCAACGAAATAAACAATGATGGTACCATATTATTCTGCACAAACCACCACTGTTGTTCTTGCTTTATTCAAATTCATCGAGGGGAATAAAAGCATGAGGTTGTGTATTTCCTGGTCTTTCCACATCGTGTATTATTTTTCTAGGAAGATATTTCGTTTAACGTCTTACGTAAGGACAAAGTTAAGGCAATAATTCGGTATCACTCAGTAGTCTCTACTTTTACAGTTTGTCAATTCATGTATTCTACCTATCCTTCTGCATTGCTCTCCCTAGTTAATCTTTTCTGGGCTATCGAAGACAAACTTTGTTACACTGTGTAGGGCGCTGAAAGCCACTGTTTGTAGGGTGGGTGGGGTGTCGCTAAACTAACTTGTTAATACTGTTGTACATAAACACATCGACTCATTCATGCAAGAAATTAGCGAATATTATCCTGTCAGACTCTGAGCATTCTCTCTATACACACACAACTCTCTCCTTGCTGAAAATTTCATCAGTTAGGGGGAACTAGGAGCAACTATAGAAGACTTTATTTATGCTCAGACAACTAAGTATAAAAACTTTACAGTACCTTATTTGGTTGGTACATACTTTTTGTGAGGAGACAAGTGTAAGGCATGATGACACTACTAACTTACTGCAAAATAATAAGTAAGTGGCCTTTTTATTCTTTCTTACATTATCATAATGTTGTTAATATTTTCACTTAATATTTATGTTCATATTCTTCAAAACAACAGACACACTTCATAGCAACCTTGTCCATATAAAAGACCAAATCCCTAAGGATTCTCTATCTAATTGTGTCTATAAAATAAAATGCTTCGAATGTGATGCGATATACATCGGACAAACATTGCTAAACAGAAATGAAGGGAATCAGAGAAAATGAACACTGAAAAGCCGCATCTGTTCGACCACCGAGAAATAAATCCAGTTGAACTAGAAAAGCTTGAAAAATCATCAGTCATAGGTGGTCTACACGCGATAGAGTCAGGCCAAAAAATAGATCTTGACAATATTGAAGTAATCCAGAAAAAGCATTTCAGAAATCACAAAGAACGTCTAACATCATCAGAAGCACTTCATATCAAGTGGAATCCAAATTGTCTGAATAGGAATGATGGACCAGAACAGAATTTGACCTCATTGCAACACCTCCCTCCCCCATAAAACGACAACATCAACACGAATGTGATAAGCAATTTCAGTATGTAAACACACGCTGCTTTTATGATTATACACACTTATCAAATCCAACAATCTACACCTGGTTTTGTCATCTTTACCAATTGGCCAATTCGACAACGCAAAAATGCCGCCATGCTGAGGAACGATGATCAAGTTAGTAAACTTTGTTTTGATACCATAACAGATGTACTATTACCTTTGTTATTTGGTTTAGTGATTTTCATTGTTATTTTGACTTTCAATATGTCCTTTTAACTTGACCTAAGTCTATTTTCTCACCTCTTAACTCTTTGTTATATATATGTTGAGATTTTGTAAATTCTGGTTTAATAATACTTTGATAAAGCTATTAGCAGCATTAAATAGCGAAAGCTCAGTGAAAACAATATCGTTTTGTTTTCCATTCCATTGTAATGAATATCATATACCCAATGCCCAAATTTTTTCAAACCGTCAAAATTGAACTTGGTTTGGACATATGTTCATATTCTTATTTAACAATATTATCCATGTCAATGTCCTATTTTAATTACTACCCGTGTAATGAGAAAATTAGATGCAGTCAGATACTGTACTACATGCTGAAAATTCCATATTTATACCAAAAGTACTGTCTGCAATAGAGCCATTATTATTACCATTAGTTAGAGAACCATTGGAAAACCAACTGGAAGTACTGGACAACCACCTCATCCTACTGTGGGACTCTTCATCGGTAAGCAACCACCGCCAGGGTTTGAACCCAGGACCTTCGGGATACAAGGCAAGCTCGTTGACGCCCATTAAGCCACTGAGAGTCAACCAAATGGTGCGTGAATTCCAACTTTCGCCAGTGTCAACAGTGACGAGTATTTGTCTTCACACCTGACCTGATGTACCCCACTGGTCTCACAACTCCCCACTACAAGCTCACCTTTTAACCGGAAGGTCCTGAGTTGGGACCCTAACAGTGGGTGCGTTCTGATGAAGAGTTTCAAAGTAGAAAGAAACAGCTGTCCAGTACTTCCAGCTTTTCCAATGGTTCTTTAATCGATGTCATTTCATGATGAAATCATGTTACAAGCCAAATCCCTGAAAACCAACAATTGAATATTATTATTTTTATTGTAACTTTTTTCAAAATGACCTACTTGAAAACAATGAACTGGAAGTACATCAAAAAATTCATGTCCTATAAAGAATGACAATGTTTCAGGAACTTCTCGAAGATCATTATACCAGAATATAGGCAGTGGTTTATTCGACAGGCACGAGGTAACTTTTTCAATTGTTTCCTTTTGAGTATTTCTCATTGATGAACTTATTTCAACTAGATGTAATGAGATGGTTGAATATATATCAGGGAATTTTGAAAGAACCTGAAATTAAAAAGAATGAATAGTTGTCATTTAGTAGTGTGTAAAACTTTAAATTGTCAAGTAATGTATACGTCTGTGCAAGAAGTAAGGAACCATGTCTAACAATACTAACTGATAACGAGAACCTTCGCGGTAGACGGTAAGAAAAAGAAGGGATTTGAGGTCGAGGCACAACGGGCCATTTCAGCAGACCTCATATCTATGGATATGATTCTGTATTACTGTCAAGTATTTAAAGTTGCCCCATTCACTCTCAGTCAACTTGAGAAAAGTTTTATGAGATCTGTGCTGAAGAGGTTGGAAGAGGGTAGCCTCTACAGGTTGACTGGATATGCTAGACATACACCGCTCAGAAAAGGTAAATAAAACACTATGATATAAGGTTGTGCGTCTGTGGTTCATTGGTAGAATACTCGCCAACCACGCACGTGGTTCAGGATTTGATCCTGAGCCGATGGCACCCCTTAACCCCACTTATTCATTGGTAAGCCGAGTAAAATGGGAAGGTTGGGTGTGAGGTTAGTAACCCCACCACTGCTAATGAAATTTTAAAGTTTAAGCTTGAAGCCCCATGTTCCAATTGAAATGTAAAGGAGGCAATTGCGTGCTACAACTTGAATGGGTATCACACTTACTCATGCATATGTCACCCTGCTCGATTCTCGGCATTACTTAGAGAACTGCACTCAGACACGAATCAAAGTTCTTAACTGTCCTACATTTAAGACTAACAGCCACTAATTTAATGAAAGGAAGTATAATTCTTGTATGTGTACTTTAATCTTTACATGAGAAAACCCTCGCTACATATACGCCATAGAGATAAGACATCCTTATCAAAGGCTGTGAAAGGATTTCAAGAGGAGGAACTAATTTTGTCCATAAACATATGGAAATTGAGTTCGTGGCAAAAGTTTTTGACTCGAAGATTAACACAGTCATCAGTAACACAAGCTTGTTAGTTGGGATTCTCGGTGTTTAATATTTGTGTAGAGTGTCTATCAGTGTATATATTATCATTTCATTAGGTTCTCAGTGGAACATATGGCTTCGACAGTGCATCTCCAGTCGTATCTTGTTCTCTGTAGTCCCTTTTAGCTGGTTACACAATTTCCTTCTTGCACGATCACCTTCATGTCATCCTCGGATCAACGCCCAACTGATTTCTCCCTATTCGGGCTCATTTCAAAGGCTTGTCTAGGACGTGATGTTACTCAACTGTCTCATCACAGAGTGTGTCCAATCCATCTGCATTTCCTTCGGCATATTTGTTGGACAGTAGGCTATTAGATGGAGGATTTCATCATGAGCTGACATCAGTTAGAGAACCATTGGAAAACCTGCAGGAAGTACTGGACAGCTGTTTCGTCAGCCTAGTCTGGAACTCCTCACAGCAGTACGCACCCACCGCCGCCAGGGTTCGAACCCAGGACCTTCTGGTTACAAGGCAAGCTAGCTCATAGACCATTGAGCCACTACTGAGACCCGATCCAATGGCCAGTCCATGAATTCTAACTTCTGCCAATTCACGACGTAGCGCGACCATTTCGCAATGTCTTCTTCGATGAGTTACTGCCTCATCTTCAACCTGCTGTACCCTACTGGTCACGGCTTCCCACTAGACCACAAAACCGATACTTGAAAATAGGCTATTAGTTGGTTCGTTAACTGCCAGAGTTCCTTGTTGCTGATCCTTTTTGACCGATTATCTGATCTTCAGTAGTGAGCGAAAGGGGTGGCGGGGGGGGGCAGCTGTTGATAAAAGTTTGAAGTAGCCTGTTGGAAATGATACACGAAGGTGTAGAAGTAAGTACCATCAATAAAATCAATACTCCTTTGGGCTTCTGGGTATTGACTTTCACTCAGTATTTTTAAGGGTAAAGGCGATCAGTCAATTACTGTTAGCATTTAACATACTGTTGTGTCATCATTTAGTGTTCGTGAACAATCTAGTGAATCAATATTTGATAGTGATGATATCGGTGTCATTTGGAACGATTGTTGACTATCTATTTTGACACATAAGTACAATAAAGTTGGTGAACAATAATAATAATAATCACATACAATAACCAATCCTTCCTTTTCTCACTATAAATCTTATTTCTAACTATCAATATATATTTTTGAGTGAGCTAAGCAATAAGAGTGCTTCGGTGACACAGCGGTAGAGTGCTCGCCAACCATTCACATGGTCCGGGGTTCGATCCCCGGTCACAGCAGACGCACTCCTTTACCTCGCTAAGCCAGTTTTGTAAGACTGGTAAAGAGGCAAGGTTGGGCATGAGGTTAGCAACCCCGTCCCGTAAAAATAAACACCACTGCTACCGAAACTTTAAGCCTCTCTCTAGCTTGAAGCCCTATGTTCCACTGGGAACGTAAAGGAATTAAAAAAATAAGCAATAAGAGAAGTACAAGTTAAGTCCTAGCATAGAGTTATGTAATTGAATTCCACACAAATAACAAACCCTTAGAATATCAGCAGAAAGAGTGCCACGTCCTGGACCAAGTTCAACAAGTTGTATATGTTGAGGACAGTTTTGTCGTTTCCATTCTTGCAACAACCATACACCTATAAGCTATTAACATATTTATATTAGAGAAAAACAAACAACAACAGCAATAGTTTACCTCACCGAAGATTTGACATATTTCAGGGGAAGTAGTAAAATCTCCACGCTTACCGAAGACACTATGTGTATTATAGTAACCCTAAGAAAATACAATACGGCGCTACATAACTTACATATACCGGGTTGCATAAACATTCCTTCATATATTCAGCTACTGTTAATGGTCCAAAAGTATTGATACGATCTAATAGTTGTTTCTTTAAAATATTATTTGTTTTTTCTGGAGGTTTAAATAGACTAAAGTGACGTCTCCAACATGAAATTGAAGGGGACATGAAGTTTGTAACATACAGTCTTGATTTAAGAAGCATTTCTTTTTACGTATCTGTAATTAATTATACAAGGCATAAAGAAAATGAAGTAATTCGAAGGGGATTACAACCAAACCATTAGGATAATTTGTTGTGTACAACACTGGTGAAAACAAAGTTTAATTTCAACAGGATTTATTACTAATAAGTAGTCACTAAAATGGAGTAAAAATGGAAACATCTTGTTGATGGATTGATTGTATGACTGACTTCAATGAACTGATTAGTTATCACAGCTTGTAAAAATTTGATAGAATTGTGAGGAGCCTAATCTAAACAGCGTTGTTCATCAGTTACAAACACACTGCTCGTCGTAGGTGAGTTAATAACCTGGCATCAGTCCGTGAAATATTTGACAGTTAGTTTGACTCTGGTTAGGGTGGTGTAGACTGCCTGGTTGGAGTCCTAAGGTTGCTAAGATCCAATGGCTGGAGACTATTGGTGACGTACAGCTCACTCTTCATGATCTCCTGCATACATTAAACCCTAATGTTTTCTATGTTACTATTCTTTCTCCCTCACGTTTCTGCTTGTCATCATCCTTTCGGATCCCTCTTTCTCTCTTCCGTTTACATTTGTGTGCTGCATGGAGTGTGGTAACTTGATCTGGTGAACTTCTGCGTCGAAACTCAGTCAGGTGAGCTGACTGACTGGTTTCGACATAGAATTTTGCACAAATGTGCACCAGTTCGAGTCGCCACACTTCACTTAGGACACAAAGCAAGAGAAGAAAGTAAACAGAGATATGAGGCAAAAAGAATAGTAATGTGGAAGAGCAATACAGTTTTATTGGATATTATAAGTCATAAGGAGTGAATGCATCTGCGCCAGCCATTGAGAACGATTTTGAGCCATATCACCAACTGTTTCCAGCCATTGGCTTTTATCGTCCCAAGGACCCCAAATGGCCAGTCAGTCTACACCTCCCGACATGGCTTAAACCAACTGTTATGGATTTCATTGACTGATGAAGCCATGTTTTGGTTTGATTACCACTGGTTATTTTCCGACCTGACCCTATGTCAGCTAACATTGGCTGCCGAGGAAGGCGATGGCTAGGTGTGCATGCGTAACACATGTCCTAACCATCTAATCCAATCAATGTAACTTCGCAACCTTGCCGATTGATTTCCCCTCCTTACCTAGGACTCGACCGATGCCTAACCTCGATATTACTCACCTTATTATACCACCAACCAACATGGGAAACAGAACGCAGACACCTATGATCAAAGATAACTAGTCATCCTTTTCATGTCTTCCACTTTCAATAGCCATGTCTCACAGCCATAAAGGAGGACGGACCAGACTGCTGAGCAGTACACACGCCCTTTGGTCAACAGCCAAAGACGGCGTAAACTGGCATATGCGAAAAGGGCCAGGTGAGCTAACGTAAACTACACTAGGATTGGTTATGATAAAATAAACCTTCTGGATTCATTTTCAAGCACAGATCATATCTAAAATATAGCTGGTTTAATTATATAAAATTTTTACGGATACAAATTATCTTGAGCTCAGAAACAAACAACCAGAATTAGAAATTAAAGGATATGGGGCGGGGGTGACCTCTGTAGTGAAGTACACAACTGCTGTTGGAACTATTGTAGCCTAAAGCCCATTATGCAAAGATTGAACAGACAGACAGACAGGTTGAATTCACTTTAAACCTTATTGTCTTGCGTGTGATTTTCAAGTTCAGATATTTGTTTTTCATGTTACTGACTGAGTTTCAACATGAAACTATACACAGGAGTGTGCCAGTTTAAGTCGTCACACTCCACGCAGAACACATGTCGACAAAACAATGAAAAAGCGATTCGAAAGAACAATAATTAGCAGAGATGGGAGGTAACAAAGAGTGGATGCATCTTAGCCATCGAGAACAATTTTAAATCATATCATTAAAAGTCTCAAGCCGTTGGGTCTTGGAATCCCGGGGACCCAAGTCAGATAGCATAAATTTCCCTACGTGGCTGGCTTAAAACAACTGTCAAAGACTTCGTGGACTGATTCCAGGTTTTGGTTTAACCGCCACTACCTCTTTTCCAACCTAGTCCTATGGCGACTAAGATTGCTCGTTGAGAAAGGCGAAAGCTAGGCATGCGCATCACGTGTCCAAGCCATCTCAATCGATGCAGTTTCACAACGTGATGGACTGGCTTATCCTTCTTACCCAGTACTTGTTACTCGAAAAAGTAAGAAAATCTACTATGTTATGAAGCAGAGTCGCAACGATGAATTCATGTATACATATTAGCCTAACTTGTGATCACAAACACATGTAGAACTAGATTACATTGCATTAATATATGCAAACTAATTAATTAGTTCTAAGTCACAGACTGTTCTCTCTTAATTTCATAATTTTTTTTACTAGATATATCACAAAGTGAAACAGTATTATTTACTGGATAAAATCTCGAACACAATTCATTGTTCACAATTTACAGTTTTGGGATATTTGAGGAAAAATATTGCATTTCCTCCAAACTTCTACATTCGTTTACTCCCCAAACTACCCGCAAAGAACTACTGTCTGGAAACTTATACCCTCAAATAATTTATTAGCTGAACACCAACTATCGAAAAATTGGTGTTATACTGATTCTCAAAGAATTTATTTGTCCAGGTCATATTCTAATCCCTGAAGAACAATTGTTCCTGCGTAGCAGATAGTTAAACGTCTAAGGATAAGAAGTATAATTCACAGAAATTATTTCAGTGCCAGTTGGAGAATTCACATGACAGTGGAGAAAACGTGGGAAAATTGGCAGTTATACCTGCCTCATACATGTTCATGGGAAAATTCTCCGAACTGACTACTTATTAGTATATGCTATAGCACATACTTAACATAAAAATATAAGTTAGGCAGTTAGGTTTTTAGCTGTGACAGCTATCAGGAATCGCAAATCATTTTCCTTACATAAATAATATATAGACTAGGTTGGTGGTTAGCTACTTAGAGAGACTAGACAATGGGAAGCAATAACATAACATACAGAATTGGATCAAAGGTCAAAACATGACCTTGACACAACAAATCATATTTCCCGCGTCTTTAAAAACACAAATGTCCTTGAGTGCATATTTTGTTTCTGCGCATTGAATTTAAAAGAAAGGTGACTTTTTGAATAAGTTAAAGAGTAACAGTTGTCTTCAAATACCCTCTAGATGAACTTGAGCAAGTACATTTTAAGAAGGGAATGGTCCTAAAGGTAATATCTGAAAGTCAATCTTTATAAGTCTGGTAAACTTCAAGAACTCCATCTGTATTGACACACACCACAGATGAACTGCTTTTGGAGCTTTTTAACACTCCACTGAGCCACTTTAAGTCATCAAGAGGTTTGAAGCATGTCATCCTCAGTCTGGTTTTGAGAACTGGATTCATTTACAAACCCATTTAAGAATTACTACCCTTTTAATCTGACTGCCATCGTCGTTAGCTACTATGTAGAACTGTCTATGGTTGCGGTAACCAATAATTCAGGAGAAATCAAGTTTTATCTGGGAAACTGAACGATTTTAGTGCTGGTCGTTATTGTTTGGCCAACGATCTCGCGCCTCAGGGAAGTTAGGGAAATGAAGTCAGTTAGTAGAACCTGTATTTGTAGACTTCAGAAAGATTGCTTTAAGGTTTTTCACTAATTTCTTCTGAAGGAGCTGAGCAGTTTTAGGATTGTTAAAACAGTAAAATACTGGGTTTATGATGTAGCGGTAAATAATTCCCCAAAATTATTGACCACAGCAATCATCACTCAACACTGGATGCTGACCCTCACTGTTTAAGTCGACTTGTTTAGCTGAAGGCTTCCGGTCAAGCATCCCCGCCATTTGGTACTCCGTCGTGTCACGTGCGTGTACGATTACTAGCTAGCTAAGCATTCACCTCTACCCGCGATTTTGTCCCGAAATATACTACGTACTTTGGACGACAAAATCTGGTCTTTTGCTTTATCTTTTGTACTCGAAGAACGAACACTATAGAAGTTGTTGGTATAAGATCTTGCGTTAGTATAATCCGTACAACTCGCGAACGTCGATACCCGCAATCCCTAAACTGGTGAGCCCAACCACGAACTACATCTTCAATTCACACGCAGATAAACCCGGTGAGTTCGTTCCTTTTTGTGTTTGTTCCTGTACTCTTTTGTAATCGGCATTTTCGTCGAGAGTGATCCTAGCCCCAAGGTTATTCGGATTCGCTCAACTGCCAAAACAATCCAGCTAGTACCATATTGGCCAGATAATGCTGAAACGTGGTTTCAGATTGCTGAGTCTGATTTTTGTGAACATGGCATAACTGATCAACGTTCACAGTTCCTTGCAGTTATTCACGCCCTACCGCGGGAATTCAGCAGGTGCGTAACTCTGCAGATGTCGGGTCCAGAGGTAAGTAACTCGTACGAATCGCTCAAAGCATCCCTCCTCAAGAGAAACGTTCTCACGGATCGACAACGTCTGGATGAGTTATTTCGTAACATTGAGTTAGGGGATCAGTCAGCCGTGAGCATGCTGGCAAGAATGGAAGAGATCATTGGCCAAAGTCAGTTCGATGAAGGACTGTTCAGAGAACTATTTTTATCCAAACTGCCACAGTCAGTTCAGACTGTACTTGTGACACTTCAGGGTGTTCTCATGGATGACTTAGCTGTCTCTGCAGATAGAATTCTAGAGATAACGAAACGGCCAGTTACCGAAGTATACTCTGTTACCGAACAGACTTCGAAGAAGGATTCTGCAATGATAGAGTTATGCAACTCCGTCCAGCAGATGCTTAGGTCAAACAAGCCTAGCAATTCCTCCTATCGTCGTTCTAAATCCCCTCAACTTATGAACGCACGTGGACGATCTAAGTCCAACACACGTTCTCTCAAAAATCCTGACTGGTGTTGGTATCACAACACCTATGGCAAGGAAGCGAAATGTTATCGAAAACCTTGTGATTTCGGCAAAGCCTCCAAGTCTGTGGGAAACTATCCCGCCGGCACGCGTTAGCGGCAACCGTCGCCGGTGGCACTAGCCGCTTACTTTACATCCATGATGTAATGAGCCAGACTACATATCTAGTCGACACAGGCGCCGAAGTCAGCGTCCTTCCTGCTACAGCAGCAGATCGACAGAAGAATCCTAACTTCAACCTACAGGCTGCAAATGGAAAACCAATTGCAACCTATGGTCGGAAATACGTCTATCTGAACGTAGGTTTACGCAAACCTATTCAGTGGATTTTCCTAATCGCTGACGTCACAATGCCCATCATTGGCACGGACCTACTTAATCATCATGATTTGCTCGTAGACGTCCGCCGTAAACGACTAATTGACAACACTACTAGTTTGTCTATCAAAGGCATAACTTACAGTGGCCCCAGCTTGTCAATCGTTAAGATGAAAGCAATCCTCGATCCAACTTTTCAACCGATTGTTGACAAATATCCGGAACTCAATTGCCCATCTAACGATCTCCCGTGTATAACCAGCAATGTTATGCACCACATCATAACCTCAGGACAGCCCGTGACATCTAAAGCACGACGACTGGCCCCTGACAAACTGAGAATTGCCAGAAACGAATTCGATCATATGCTCACCCTTGGCATCATTCGGCCATCGAATAGTCCATGGGCATCCCCATTGCATATGGTACCGAAAAAGGATAGTAACGATTGGCGACCCACTGGTGATTACCGGCGAGTGAACGCCAAAACAACCCCTGATTGCTACCCTTTGCCTCACATACACGACTTGACGGCAACGTTATCTGGAGCATCTATATTCTCCAAAATCGACTTGGTTAAAGCATATAACCAAATCCCGATGGCAACGGAAGATATTCCGAAAACGGCTATCATCACGCCTTTCGGACTTTTTGAATTCCTACGTATGCCATTCGGCCTCCGGAATGCGGCCCAAACATTCCAACGCTTCATCGATGAAGTATTTCGCGGTCTCGACTTTGTATACGCATACTTAGACGACTGCCTCATTGCCAGTCCAGATAAGGAAACTCACCTTAGACACTTGGACTTGGCATTTGAAAGGTTACGCCAACATGGTGTTACCATCAATATACAGAAGTGTCAAATAGGCGTTGACTCACTCGATTTTCTGGGTCACACTATTGACTGTCAGGGCATTCGCCCACTGGCTACTAAAGTCGAAGCGATACTGAACTTTCCGGAGCCAAAGACAGTGAAAAGTCTTCGCACTTTTAACGGCTTGGTAAGTTATTACCGACGTTTTATTCCTAATTGTGCTTCTCTGATTCAGCCATTAACAGATCTTCTTCGAGGGAATAACAAGTCTATCGAACTCGACACGTCTGCTCGACATGCTTTTACTCAGGTAAAGAAAGCTATTGCGGATGCCACCCTTCTTATGTATCAGGATCCAACGGCACCGTTAAGTATCTCGGTTGATGCATCAGACACTGCAATCGGCGCAGTTCTGCAACAACTAGTTAACAAAGAGTGGCAACCACTCGCCTTTTTCTCGAGGCGCCTTCAATTAGCAGAAACGAAGTACAGCACATTCGGAAGAGAACTTCTAGCTATGTACTGTGCTATACGCCATTTTCGACATTCAGTTGAGGGTCGTGAATTCATAATCTTCACTGACCACAAACCTCTGACGTACTCTCTGAACTCAACTTCAGATAAGTATTCACCCAGGGAATCACGACAACTAGATTACGTTTCACAGTTTACATCGGATATTCGCCATGTTTCCGGAGTGAACAACACTGTGGCAGATGCCTTGTCACGTATTTGTTCCTTCACCCAAATCGACGGCATAGACCTTGTAAAACTGGCTCGTCTTCAAAAAGAAGATACCGAGCTTCAGCATGAGTTGTCGAAAACAACTCTACAATTAGCCAAGAAACCCTTAGGTATAGGAAAGGATACTATTCTCTGTGACATTTCCACTAGTACTCCTCGCCCTATCGTGCCTAAAAGTTATCGTCGTAACGTCTTCAATACGTTGCATGGCTTATCACACCCAGGTATTCGAACTACCGTCAAGCTCGTAACTAGTCGGTTTTGTTGGCCTGGTATTAATAAGGAAGTAAGGGAATGGGCACAGACGTGCTTAGCTTGCCAAAAGTGCAAGGTAATAAGACACACCAAAAGCCCCTTGGCACTTTTCTTATCCCCGATGCCCGTTTCGAACACGTCCATATAGATTTAGTTGGCCCCCTTCCAGAATCTCATGGATATACCTATATGTTAACCTGCATCGATCGCTTCACACGATGGCCTGAAGCAGTACCCATCAAGGATATATCTGCTGAAACTGTCGCACGCGTCTTTGTAGAGAGATGGATCGCAAACTTTGGATGCCCATCTTCCATAACAACTGATCGTGGGCGGCAATTCGAAAGCGGTTTATTCTTCGCTCTAACTAAAATTCTTGGTTGCATGCGTTTTCGAACAACAGCCTACCATCCTCAAGCTAATGGTATGGTAGAACGTCTACACAGACAGTTGAAAGCTGGTTTATCAGCTGCAAATAACACCCATTGGACTGAATCCCTTCCGTTAGTTCTCCTAGGGATACGAAACGCTTTAAAAACCGATGCTGGTTGTACCACCGCTGAGCTAGTATATGGCACGACACTACGACTGCCAGGTGAGTTTGTTTCTCCCTCGAGCTTCCCACCAGCGGTAGATCACACCTCATACGTCAGTAGGCTTACAAACGCAATGCGTTCAGTTAAACCTGCTCCCCTCCGACCACAGTCCATTGATGTTTTCGTTCACCCTTGTTTAAAAACTTCTTCACACGTATTTGTTCGTCGCGACTCGGTACGTCGTCCTCTAGAACCCCCATATGACGGACCATATAAAGTAATTAAACGTACGGATAAATTCTTCGTCTTAGACAAGAAAGGCCACGAAGACACCGTCAGTATCGACCGTCTGAAACCGGCTTACTTGGAAGGTAATCCTATTAGCCTAGAGCTGAGCGTACCCAATAATCCACAAGTAATAGAATATCCTGTAGTCTTCGAAGAACTCCCTAGCACGGCGAAAGCCACCGAAACTTCAGTCG